ACGGAATTCAAAATAATGATTATGTTTGTTTGAAGGTTGGTTTTAATATCACTCCCAAAGATGACACGACCCTTCAAGAAATGCTGGCTCTTGGACTGGACAAGTTTGTTGAAGACCTGTCGGTGATAAGCAGCAGAGCAGCGAAGGAATTCTCTTTGGAAAAGGTATTTATGATGAAGAACAAATCATGAAGTTGAGATAATGTCTCATCCAGACAAATGTACTTCAATTTTTTACTTGAATTGATTGCCGTTGTTAGCGCTAGGGTTCATTTCCTTTTTCTCGGAATTTTCCTTTTCTTTCTTTCCTATTCATTTTTTAAGTTGTCAAAGACAAGACGCTCGTGGTTTTTTCTTATTGAAAATTGAAGTGACAGGATTGAGAAACAAAAAGAGAAATAGAGGAGTGCGACCATTTTAGATTTGTAACACGGACTTTTTTTGTTCGAGCAACAAGTCAAATGAATAACGCGGTGGTCTTGAAAAGATGAAGGTTACATGTTTATGCAGAGTGGTTTCTCTGTGTCTATTGTCAAAAATTTTCGCTGCACGGTTTAAGCGATTTTTAAAAAGATTTGCTATATTCTTACCTTTTTTGCATATTTTGGTTTTTGCGTTTTATGAGAACATTTTGATGCAAGTTTTTGACACTCCGTTTACACTTGCGATTTTTGCATAGGGATTCTCGTGTTGATCCTCGCGCGACCATCCCCTGAATTTCGAACATGCTTGAAAATTTGCTGCAACTTCACGGCGATTTTCCCTGGTCTTGCATAGAATATAACGAGAAACCATGCCAGAAATGCAGGAGATAGGCTATAAAGTGACCTGACTACTTCAAGGAAAAGAAATAATTGCTGTTTATTTTTTATAGGCCTTGGACAAAATGCACGAGGAATGGAAAGGAATCGAGTTCACTTTTGTCGAGTACAAAGACACTGGCATAAGCATTCTSTCTGCTGTAGACGACCTACAGGTATTGCTGTGATTTCTAATAACCAAAGTAAAAGCTTTTCTGGGTATTGAAAGTATTGTTCCAATTATGTTTAGGTCTTGTTAGACGACCATATTGTCAAGACTCAGACCATGAAAGGATCGCCATTTATTGGACCCTTTGAGGTGGAAATTAAAGACTGGGAGACTAAGTTGGTTAGTGCCATCATCCAGTTCAAAGCTATACCATTGAGCGTCCTAGAATTAGTTAATATGCCAATTTTGAGGGTTAATCAATTGAAGAGATACAGACCCGCAAAGTTAGGAAATTTAAAACATATTAATGAGCAATTGAATGGATATAAATAAATGAATTCGTACGGTCAMTGGGACGAAACGCACTGCGCACACTCGGACGACGTACGGTAACTAAGGGAGACCTAAGATTTTTGATGCTGAAGCTTTGAGTCTTCATAAAATCGCAAAAGTTAAGAAAAATAATGAAAAGTTAAGGTTTTCCCTCTCACAGTGGCATGACAGTTTTATTTTCACCCTTCTACTAAATTATATATAGTATATAAAGTGTATGTCCAGATTAAGACATTTTGTTGTGTAGACACACGCATGCGCAGTGCGTTTCGCACGTGTCATTCCTACGTAAGTGAATGATTGATGGCATACACTGACATACATGGCTTTTTACATTATATTTCTTTAGAACCTAATGCAAGACATCGTAGAATCYTGGCTTAAGGTGAATATCAAGCAGTGGTTTTCTCGTCATCACAGTTAAGTTCACTGAAGGGCTAAAGTATGATTCCTTTCTCTCTTCAAGGTCCAAGCTTCATGGCTTTACCTGGAACCTATCTTCTCATCAGAAGATATCCAAGCTCAGATGCCCGCAGAGGGAGAAAAATTCAGAACTGTCGACAAATACTGGTAAACTGACTTAATATCGTTTGTATAAGTTTGTCAGAGCTTGGAGCGCGCGCGTGTAGGTAGACACGTGACTTTTCCCGCGTAAACCTTTCTCTTTGGTTGGCTATTTCTAGGAGACGAATAATGACKGAAGCAGTGAAAGATCCCAATGCCTTGGTGGTAACATCGCAGAATCAAATGCTTGAAACACTTCAAACCTCTGAGGTTTGTGTAGATATAGCTGTTAGAAAAACTCCTTAGTCTACAAATCAACACGAATCATGAAATTTTCATTTATATTCCAAGGTTTTGCTTGARGACATTCAAAAGGGACTGAATGATTATTTGGAGAAAAAGCGACTTTTCTTTCCGAGGTAAATTTTCACCGTCAATTCCGTAAATGGTTTTGTGTTAGACTCTAAACCTTTTGTTTTGGTTTGAAGGTTTTTCTTTCTGTCAAACGATGAACTGCTTGAAATACTCTCGGAGACTAAGGAYCCTTTAAGRGTTCARCCACACCTGAAGAAATGTTTTGAAGGCATAGCAAAGCTTGAGTTTGCTGAAAACAAAGAAATCCTTGCCATGATATCAGCCGAAGGAGAGACCGTTAAGTTTTCCAAGAAAGTCGTTCCCGCAGACTCRCGTGGACTCGTGGAGAAATGGCTGTTACAGGTTAGTAATTTTCTGCTTGTAATGTTRTTAAATYATGTGTTCAACAATTGTTTATACAGTGATTGCACTTTGACGTCATTTCTAGTACACAATTTTTAATTTTCCGTTCTGACGTCATGCATGGTACATGCATGTGCAGCGACGCCATTTTGTTAGTTATAGTTCTCGTACTTATTTATGTCCGCTATAACAGTCCTCTTTAGCAGTTTTTGATTAGGGGCTATGAAATATGCGAGGACCACAACTACCATCATGCTTTGCTGCACAAAATGGCGTCGCTGTACATTTCATATTTTCACGTTACATTCTGACGTCATTTATAGTGACAATTTTTCGTATTCTGTTTTACGGTACGCATATCATATTCAAACATGCATTTATTGAATTGAAAAATGGAAAAAAGTCCGATTTTTATGTATATTTTTGGTTAAATGTTGCTGGCAAAAACGACGCTATTTTCTCGCACTTGTTTGCGTACACAAAAATAGACCCMAGAAGCCATTTTTGAATTATTGTAAAAAAGCCAACAGTTGCGCAGGTTGTGCCGTCGCTGTTAACGGCGATTAGTCGGTAAAGTTTATTTTCTATAATTGTAGATCGAGAATGTAATGAAGCTAAGTCTTCGTGAAGTCATGGCTGACGCTGTTACAGCCTACCCAGAAACCCCTCGCACAGAATGGGTTCTCTCTTGGCCTGGTCAGGTCGTCCTGGCAACCAGTATCATATACTGGACACTTGACGTCACTGAGGTAAATTGCTTCCTGATATATAGTGCTAACCTATTGATCGTTCTGAGAGCTTGTGTAGTAGATGTATATATACTCAAACATGTCATTTTAGACTGTAATTATTGAGATTTCAAGGTCTACGTTTTTTCGGGTTCGTGTATCKAAGTTATTTGGCTTCACGGAGCGCCKGCCAATCGTGTCTTCGTGTGRCTTCCTYTCCTCATTGAGARGCTGAACACTTCATKGAAATTTATACGACTTGACAATATCTCTRAGACTAGACRCGGGCTATTTATGAYTCGTCTCTAGCTTTTGAACCTCTACAGMAAGTCACATCGCAAAAATCGGGCTTTAAAAACCCGCCCCAGCCTCCTTTCACAAGAAACACTCGCTCYCAGTCCCYCAAAACACTCAGCTATACATGCCATGTGTTTATTTTCAGGCGATGCAAAAATCAAATGGGYTACGTRAATACTATCAACACAGCACCAAACAGATTGAGGACATAGTGGGACTGGTACGAGGGAAGCTTTCAACAATGGAAAGGATCACTCTTGGCGCACTCATCGTCATTGACGTACACGGTATGACGTCATTATACATGCATGTGACACTTCATGACGTGGCTATACACGAGTGATTTTTCGCTTGCGATTTTCGGGTGCGATGAAAGCTGAACATGGAATTTGAGCTGTTTTTGTACATATACCTCCTTATGGAGATTCAAATAAGTATTTGTGACGATTTTTTATCGATACAGCATTGTCGCTCGTGTAGCCACATCGTGCATTTTGAGAAAATCGCGTCACCGTCGCAAGCGAAAGGTAGGGTTAGGGTTAGTATCGCTCGTGTGGCCGCGGCTTAAAGCATTGAAGTGGTGGAGCAAAAGTACCCTGTGTGTGGAACCGCTCTCCTTTCTTTTGTCATTTCCTCGCCACGCAGCATAGGACAGAATGAGCGGACATTTTCCGGTTGAGTGACTGCGGCAGTACCGCCAAATTCAAATGTCAAGCCAGACTGAGCGCAGCGATTTACAAAGAAAAGGGGCCAAAATGGCATTTAATTCTCAAAAACCAACTCTATTAAAGAGACTTGAGATGGTAGATCGAACTGTAAAGACAAATTTGAAAACCGTCCTTTTATAAGTAAAGTCAAATACGAACTACATCAGTCAAGTCAAGAATTAAAGCGGTCCGTTCTACGTTAAAATAGATATGAAGGACCCCTCAAAGAAAGCGTTCTTTTATAACCTAAATACAATATGGACTACAACTCGAATTGTAAAGTCACAACAAAGCCTTCTTTTACAGCTTCAGTCAAATAAGAACTGCAACTCAAACTGTAAAGTCAAGAAAGCGTTCTTTATTAAACTTCAGTCGAATAAGAGCTACA